TAGGTATTGCGGTAGTTAAGCTACATAGACAGAGGAAGCAGGTTGGTATAATGAGAGGCCGATGATAGAAACCGTGTAGAGCATGAACAAAAGCAGAATAATCAATCTATCCCTTCACCCGGCCCCATCGTCTAAATTGTCAGAGATTTAACTGGGATAGGCGCACAAATTATAACGAATTCGTGGTAAATAAGCGCTGTTCTTCACCACGGTAGCAGAAGGTAAGAGGGGAGTGACAAGTGTGTAAATCTCACCAAAGGCATTCACATCCGCTTGCCACTAGACATCCAGTGGGTAAAGTAAATCTCTCAATCTCGTTATATCCCAGTTAATGGCACGACTCTTGCGAAATAGCATTTTAAATTTTACTAAGAGTCTAATGAATCGTGGATGACAAGCTACGAGGAATCAGATGAACGGTGTCGGATTTCAAGTCGTGTAAAGTTGATCAGAAGGCATGCTCACACATTTGGTCCTGGCTACCTACACAATGCCATGATTTAACGCATTACATCGCAACGTTTCTTTAATGCATAGATCTAAGTTTCCAAGGTTATTGACACTGAATCAGGTTTCAAAGCCTAAGGCTAGGACTGATCTGCTTGCAAAAGGTAGAAGCTATTTGGATTGCAGGCGTTACTGAGGTAGGCATGCAATACCACAATATTTACCACTAATAGATGCACGGTGACTGCAATAAGGAATTGTGAAAGTAGAAGAAAGTATGTGATGAAAGGAAGTCGAGGTGAGACTGAATGATGGAATGCACGCTAGGCGTTTATCCGAGGGCACATATGACGGTCTGAAGCCTACTTTTAATCACTGTTTTGTACTTGGCTGATGATAATGCTTTAGCTGGTATTGTTAGGAACTACTTCGTATAGATATATGCATCTTGGAAAACCGGTGCTGACAATTCAAGTTTGACCTCAGGATGCACGGTCTTTTTCAAGCGTACAGAATCATCCAACTTTATTCTCCTAATTTCCACTTTCGTCACGATCTAAAATGTGCAACTTGTAGGACTTTGAAATCAAATGTCAGGTGAACTAGCAAATTGACGTTAGATTGTCTGGAATACTAAAACTACGTTGCCCTCAAAAAGTAGAAGTAAATGTGGGAGAAGTTTAATAGCATGATTGCAAGTTTTGCATTGGAATAAACGAGCAAAATATTTTGGTT